GGTGTGGCTGACTCTTAACTTTTATAAAGAATATCTCTTTGGATTTGAGACTTTAGTCTTTGCAACTTTACAGATCTCCTTTATGCACCAAGAGCTTGTAACACTCCAAAGAGAAAGGAAAAAATGAAATTGCATCATATGACCCCTTTAAAACGCTGATATCATCACACTGAGTGACGACATGAGGATGGTTGTCTTACCCTAAAGTGCTGATAAATCCATTGGTGGATCCCTCCGCATACAGGGAACAGACGTCCCCGATGTGGAGGAAACTGGACATTTTGTCGGACATTTGGCTCCACTTTTCGGTATGCCTGTGGAAGAGATAACAAACAGATTAAGGTGCAATAAAATCAGCATAATATCAATATGTCCTTTATTCCTCTTATTTAGACATATAGGTTATCATCAGACATGGAGATAGCGAGACAATAATGGCGGACCATGGGGATGCATTCGAGAAAATGAGAATTTGCCATTTTGAGATGGCCTAGTTTTTGAAAGGAATTCAAGGTCCTTCCGCTGTATGGGTGGATAATGAGAAAAGCACTAGAAAATACAGCTGTGCTATGTGCTGAAAAGACACTTAATTATGTGCACATTTTGTTGATTCTTTGCAATGTACTGTCTGTACCTTTCTAAAAGGCTCAAATTTAATGCCGTTTGTTGAAAATATGTTTTATGCAATGCAAACTTAAAGATTTGGTTTTCTATGTATTGTTGCATTCATTGTATAGCGACATTGTTGCTAAGTTAAATATTATACATTCTAATGAGGCACTGATTATAAGACTGAAATATGCTATAAGAAATAAAGCATCAAATACTGTATAACAAAGCATCTGTTAGAATTGATTGAAAATTATGAAAAAAAAACTCAATATTATTATTTCCTAGCAGAAAATCATTTTTAAAAATTATATTTAGGTCTATCCTAAATCAGACTCAAAAGCCAAGATATAAAAGTGCAGTACCTGGAGCAATAGTTTATCAGCAGATATCAAATTTTTTTACTGGCTTATGTAGAGCAACAAGATCTGACAAATAAGAGGGCACGAGACCATTTAAAATTAAAAAAATTATTAATAGGGCCTTGAAATCGATCCGATATCTAGCAAAGAGCTAAGAGGGCCAAAAACAACAACATCCGTTTTGTTCTCATTTAAGTGGAGATTTTGCGGGGGCATTGAAAATATTAGCAATATGTATCACTTTATGTTTAGGCTAATAGATCGTTTAGCACAAGCAATAGATCAAATGAACAAATATGCACTCAGATCCTTTATGTATTCATTTGCAACTAATCCAATGCTAAATCCAATGCCAAATAGTCAATGCTACATTCAGCTGGAGATGAAGCCTACAGTTCAATCAATGACAGACAAGACCAGAGAACATCAATAAGGAACAGGGCAGGCTGCACAGATGCTCAATATAGGCCTATATATCAGAGTAATACAAACAAATACAGTGTTGACAGTGTTGAAATAATATCTGCCTTTATCTTAACTGACAGTTTATGCACTATTGGCAAAAGAACGGAACTTTGTTTTCTTTGTCTGATTACAAAGACTAAAGACTAATTATTATTTGAACAGTAAACATGCTCTACCTGTGAAATCTCCATTGATAAGCCACATCATGCACTCATGCTCTGTCTGAAATTCAAATATTACCCAAGTGAATAATGTACATGTTTACTTTATTTTATCACACAGCTTTCTGAAATTCTGATTGGTCAGTCATGACATTAAGCGGTCAAATGTTTCTGAATTCATGTTTGGTTCTTCTGCATCTCTACAAGGAACAAAATAATAATCTGAACAATATTTCATATTCATTTATTTATTTATTTTACTTGATAAGATAAAATAAGCTATAAAACCCCTGTTGGAGTGTGTTTTGTGATAATGACTGCCTGATTGTACATTATCCCTTAGTTAGTGACTGAAATAAAGTTGATAGGTACTCTTGAGTCTGCAATGACATCTGTGCAGGAACAATAATAATGAATTACATGCCTACTATGACAATAATTGGCTAAATGAGCTGCAAATCACAGGAACACCTTAAAACAATTCTCCATATTTTTCAAACTGACAAACATCTCAACCATAAACTCGCTATAAGTCTAAATATATACATATTTTCAAATACCACATATTTATAATGGCCTAGTAAACATGCTGAATAATTGTATGATGGACAGCTAATCAAAACTAACCCATTCTCAAGTTTATACAAGAATTCTTGCTCTAAAAACAAGGAAGGCGAAACGCAGTGCAACTGGCCAAATCGATTTGCTCCAGCTGTTTCTGCCTTACATAGTCCTTGAGGAGATGTCGTTTTCCTGTCAACTGTAAAGCATGGTATTTGGGAATCTTGAAAATCTTTTAAAACTTCCACATTAAAAAGTTACACCGTATGTGGCCTGTAAAAGCAAACAGTGTATGTGTAGCTGGAATGACAGATGTATGTGGGCTGTCCCTGAAACACTGACTCGAATCGCTTCTTTTTACCGTGTGGTTATTTAAATGTGGAGGCGGGACTTGTCTGATTATTCAAACTATAGTTTCTATGTATGGAAAAATAGTTTTACACAGACATATAGGCTACAGCTGAGACATCAATCTTGACACTGAGATCAAACAGAAAACCTTACTTCGACAGGTGATGATCATAAACAGCCTCGAACCTAGCAGTGCAGTTTTTACTAAACGAACCGCTTCAATCCAGAAAGACACTATAAACACTAATACTGTGAACACGACGGCAGAATAATATATTTTAAAAGACTGTATCCACTATCTCGAGGATGTCTGCGGTCCACCTGCCTCCTCCAGCAGCACTTGACACTGTTACGTGGAAACATTCTAAAATTGTTACATTGCTACCGCGACAACATCAATCAGTGCACCGAACGCCTTCATTGATACACTGTAACACGCTGTCAAACTTCCGTTCTGCTCTCACTGATGGACGCTTCGGACACATAACGTTATCCACTGCCTGACGCTGAGGTCTCCTTACGCAGCAAGACTTCAGCCGAACTTTACCTTCTTCAGAAGGAGACCGTGTCGGGAATAAAACACTGGCGATGTGGTCAGCGGCACAACTGCTCCGGCCGGGATTCCTCGTATAATTCCATGATATGCGAAAGTCCCCCAATTGAAAATCGCGGCGTCCAGTTGCCAGTTGGATTTTGTCCGCACTTGTCCGCTTTCTCGCCACCTCCACATGAGCCCTGAAGCTCCACCCCCTAACTGAACGCGCATCAGGAGTGAGAGATGATGGGTAATGGACTCATTAATTTGCATCTACATGTCTACTAACTCTCAGAGTAGACTGTTAGGGTAGGTTTAGGGTTAGTAGAATGTTGACAAAGAAAGTGTTAGAAGATATTAAGCAGACAGTCTAGTAATACTCTACTAACTGCTAGTTGACATGTAGTTGCAAAGTTATTACTGTTAATAGAATGTCTAAAGTGGACTATCGAAATAAAGTGTTACCGAACTTTTTTTTAAATATGCTCTGGGTTGTTTATGAAACACACCAAACTCACATGTGAATGCACTTTATAACAGGTTGCTAGATGAGATGATCATTGCAGTGGGTTTTAACTGTATTGAAATATTTTTTAATGGGTCATATTAATACTGATGTGTCCATTAAAGAGGTTGAGTTGTTAGTTATCAATACTTGTTAGTATCAATACTCATTAGACCACAAGGCTGTATCTAATACCTGAAAAATGCTGCTTTTTCTATATAGAACACATCAGGGTATCACATCATGTCACAAAGATGCCTTCATATGGTCTATTTTTAAAGGCAGCATGGATGTATCCATCAATGTCTGTAATATCCCACAATCCTGTGTGCTGCTGTGACAGAACATTTTTTATTCAATTTATACCAAGATATAATCTCACCTTGCTTGTGAAGTATTATGTGCTGCTGTAATTTAGATACAAATGCTTTCTCTTGCACAATGCTTTTAGCAGCAGTAAATGCGATTCATTGATATAAAAAAATATATATATATATTGGGGAAAAGTAAAATTAGGAAGCATTAAATTGATCAAAAGTGACAGTAAAGCCATTTATAATATTAAAGATTTATATTTCATTCATATATGAATGCATAAAATGAATAAATTACATTTGAAAAATGTATTCAAATAGAAAACAGATATTTTGAACTTAAAAATTTCACAATATTGCTGCTTTTACTGTACTTTTAATGACATAAATGAAGCCTTGGTGAGCATGAGAGACTCATTTTAAAAATCTTAACGATCACAAAGCTTTGAACAATAGTATATGATCTGATTTTTAACAGTTATGGCCAGTTACACAGCATTTTCTACCACAGCAGCATCCCAAAAATTGCCTTCCTGCTTCCCCAGCACAGCTATCACTCACAGAAAGGTAAATCACCTAGCAACCTAGTGTGCGCTCACACCCTGAGAATGATGTCTATGCCCGACAACACACAGACAGACACAATAGAGGCTCTTTGTGCTTGTCATTCATGATGTGCTGTATTCTGAACAGCAGGATGAGTAAGAGGGGCAATGGGGCTCAAGTCACTATTATCATACTAAGTTGTGCATCTTGCGTTGTGCTCTCACCTTATTCTCCACCTGTGTGCGTTTGTGTGGAGTGGAAGAGAGCATCGAGTGAGCCTTTGAGATGGAAATATCTGCAGCTACAGCTGCTCAAACCATACGGCCCGTCCTTTTGATCTGCTGATGGATGCAACAGCTAACCCACAAAAACAACAATTATCTGTGGAGAAACACTGTAGACTATAAGATGTGACAAATCTCATTCTAGAACAGTTGTTAGTGTTTAGAACCACAAATAGAATTGGAGAAATAATAAATGATGTGTTTAAAGCAACAGTTATTACAGTTTTGGATAGTTTTCGCTTGTAAACGATGATTGATTTGTGCATATTTCTCTCCTGATTCAGACAAGACAGAAGCAACGGTTTCAAGTTAAAATGTCTTATGACGGATTTTATCTTACAAACACACAGCTTTTCGATTCGTGTGGATTACTTGTGGATTATTGTGATGTTTTTAATCAGATGTTAGGACTCTCATTCTTTCTGACGGCACCCATTCACTGCAGAGGATCTATTTTGTTATGCGTGTCAACAGAAAAGTCTGTAAAGAGTGATCTAAAACACAGAGGAACAGCCTAGACCCTTTTGGGGTCTGTAAATTGAGTGCTGGCTGCAAGGAAAAAACAAAAACTAACCAACCATTGAGGAGGAAACGGCCATTGTTTGTCATGCTTGATAAAGAGCTACACAGAGGATGACAGATATTGAGGCCGCCTTTTAAACCGACCCTGCTGATACACTGACCCTCTCATACACTACATGAATAATGAGAAAATCAGATTATTGTACAATGTAAATCTGTACAGTTTAAATATGATTTTGCAAACATGGCGCAAAGCCTGTTGTGGTCTTAATCTAGAGTCCTCTTGTAACTACGTAAATGTGGCCCTTGTCTGGATCTCATTATAAGGTTTCTTGGTCTGAATCAACATGAAATAGCATTCGCAACCCAGTTCACTCCCAAAATGTTATGCACTTTCAAATGACACAAGACAAGTTCAATGAGGAAAAATGTAGGTGTGATTATTTTCCATTGGGAAATGATTGGATGGTGAGAAGTAGACAAAACCACTTTTTATATTTAGGATAATGTGCACAATGAATTCACTGTGCACTGTGAATTCACAAAAAGATGAAGGGTCAGTTTTGATTCTGATTTTGAATCTGTCTCAGTCAAGACCACATATTTTCATTATATTACACTTAACCCCATACTGTTAAACAGTAGTGTATGTGTAAAACAGTAGGCAGATTGTGATGTGGTTAGTTTCTGAACAGGCTATGTCATGCCTCACATCCAACTGAAACCAATGATAAAAAGACTTCAATTTGTGTTCTATGATGTAATATGAACCACCTCTAATCTGATTATAATTTCAGCCAGACGTGTTGAACCCACCACCATATCACAACACATATACAGTAATGACATTACACAACCACATCGATGACAGATGCAAATGATTATATGTTCTGTTCCACCCTTCAGGACAAAGTTCTTCATCACTAAAAATAAAAGACAATTATATGGTGATAATGGCTCTGGTTTTCCCAAAGGAAATAGTCTTATTAAACGAGCTAAAGCTTTACTCTAACTGGGTCTTGTGGCTTATTCTTCTGTAAGCCTGAATTGTCATTGATAAGCTAACATTATTTTGTGTGGCACTCTGTTTAGAATCATACAATTTACACAAGTATATTCACTTGCAACCAATAATAAATACACCGTTTATCACTTCACAAGCTAAAAAAAGAATAAGCATATGCTTGACAAACAATACGGTCCAAGAGATGCACATCGCCTTATCATAATCTATATTCTGCACGCTCTAGTATGTGGTAACTATGGAAATGAATCATTTGTACTCATCTGAGATATGACATCTGAGGATGCAGCGCAGACAGACTCTTCAGAGAGAGAGAGAGAGAGAGAGATCCAGTGGAAGCCTTTTGAAATAAAAAAGGCATGTTTTCTCATCACTATTAATGTATTCGCTCAATTTCCCCTCATCGAAACAGGCCTGTAATCTTGTGCTGTGAGCTCTTACACAATACAAACAGCTGAGTTTTAACGTCACTTTCTTTCTCCATTCCGGGTGACAGGACCTCCGGCGGTCTGTGTTGAGTAATAAGGGCCGATTAGGGGGTTTGAGCTTTGAAAGCCGAGCCACTTCATTAAGCCACTATTGCAATTTGACTGTCACTAATGGCAGCGTGGAGGACAGGCGTCACAGATGAGAGGAAACTAGGCTCAGTGTGTTTCTGCAAACGAAGAATTAGAGAATGATAAACAGGTGAGGGAAAGCAAAGAAAGCAGAGATTGGTTTGCTTTCAACACAAAAATATGAGCACTTGATGATTAGAGGCTTACGGTGTTTCATTCATGCATCTTACCTCAGGATATCAAACCCATTTTGTCACTCTACAAGCATATGATGCACGTAAAATGGGAATAAAATTGTTAATAATGAAGGGATGACTTTTAATAAAACTATAAAGAGCTTATAGTCACACTTAGGCAATCGTTTTAAAACTCTTTTATGGTTCACCATGTGGAGGATGCACACAGTATAATAGTCATATTTTACATTTTAAATCCCACGGAGTTTCCAGCAGGATGTCTCTATGATGTTCATGTTATGTATGTAGTGTATACTCATACATCACAGCAGTTGATGTTACTATATATAAATATAAAGTCACATCTTTATCTGGGCCACTGGAATATTTGAAATGCTCTATATAAAAATATAAGGCAACACGGTTAGGGTTAGGCTGCACTGAACACCAGCAGCGCGGACATGAACCGAGTCTTGAGGGACACACTTGTTTAATAAAACACTGCCCTACTTTCTCCTGAGGATCTCAAGCCAGAGAAAAAAAGGCCAGTCAACAAATAGAAATGCATCTTTTTTGGGATCACAAGTTTAGCAGTATTGCTCATTGATTACTATGAATCAAATGACATATAATAACTGTTGTTAATGTTATTAAATTATTAAAATATTGAAAATCTTATCAATAATAATAATAATGAAAATATATAAAAATATATCATACAAAATAATATTAAGCAAACAATAATGATAATAATAAAAACTGAATTATTTGGCTATTAGCCTTTTCTGTCATTTTCTCAAATATTGTTTATTTAAATATTTAAACTTTAATAAAGATATTTTTTTATCAAAAATAATTATTGTATTTTTAAACAGGAGTATTGCTTCATGATAATTGATTAATTATCAAATGACAAATAATAATGGTTGTTAATGTTATTAAATTATTTCACATCTGAATCTTTACTTATAAATTATAAATATGAATATGTAAAAATATGTTATGTAATATAATATTAAATGAGAATAATCAAAATATAATCCAATACATAATCCAAAATAATAATAACGATAATAAAAACTTTCTTTAGTTATTTGATTCCCCCAACCCCGGTGTCCCTCTCAACGGTGCAGCCATCAGTGCCACTCAATTTCTCTCTATCTAAGGAGAAAATGTGCCTCACCATGAAAAGACACCAATGAGAACTTGACATGCCCTCCTTTGTTAGTCAGACCCTAAGTACACACCTCAAGAGGCACAGCGGACACTTTCTAACTG